GAAAATAAGAAAAGTTCTGTTTTTGTTACCTTAGAATGAGCCATTTATGTCTATATAGGGGGTGGGTCTTTGTCTACAGAGATCACGATGTTGCACCACCATGTTTCTACAGTAGCCCAGAACTATGAAACCAAACACTGGCTCTTGATAGGGACATATCTGTATTCTTATGTACATCACTGCCACCATAGTTTGCAGCGTCAGAAAAACACTGATTCTTGTTTTTTTTAATGTGAACTTGATTCATTGTTTTTACCAGTTTAAATCATCCTACACACTGCTGCTTTAAGAGTTCAGAAGTGTGAATTCAAAAGAGTTGATAAACTATATATTTATCTGTCATTCAGGTCACAGTCACAGTTTAAATGAGAATATAAAAATGATTTAAAAAAAACACTTTTACAGATGCCGTTCAGTGTCAGAAATGGGAGCTCAATAAACACCATTATGGGCGCCTATGTTTCTGCCTGGCTTCATGTACAGTATATTTGGAACAGACCATTCAGGCAGCACCAGCCAACCATCTGCAGAGAGAAAGGTAGAGAGACCCTGACGAAGACAGAGGCAGAGAGGGATGGTGGTCAGTTAGTGAGTCATGAATAATTGAATGTGCTTAATGGGAAGAGATATAAAAACTGAAAGTGTTTGGCCGCTTTGCAATAAAGACCAGAGAGCTGGTCATTTCCTGCGTGCGTGCGTGCGTGCATGCGTGTGTTCACCGTGATAGTGCAGTATCTACTGATGAAACTTTTTCTAAGGCAGCATTTTTGCACATTAGTGACTTCAAGTGGCAACTGGTGAAAAGTGTGCACATTTTCAGCAGCATGAGGGATTTCATTACCAAGATATCCTTCAACATGGCACCAAGAAACATCTTAGTCTCAATGTCCACAAAAGCATTTTTTTTCCCCCGAGGCCAGCGTATTTTTAAAAAATTCTTTGCAATTCGGGCACCTCATATTGACGCTATACCACAAATGTCAGCAGTGTGATGAGGCGCTGAGCGTCTGTTCTGTTCTTCCAAATGCCATCCGTTTGGCGTTTTTATGTCTGTGCGCCAGCGATAGCCTTCACTGGAGGGATGATGTTTTTGGGTTGCCCAGCTGCCTGTCTCATTCTTGTGAACATCATATCTGAAGAACACCTCAAGGGAATTTCCTCAAATTTGGCGCAAACGTCCACCTGGACTCAGTGGTGAACTGATGAGAATTTGGTGGTTGAAGGTCAAAGGTCAAAGTCACTACAGCTACTGTTGCTAACATTATGTGGTGAATTCAAATGTGGGGTAGCGCTACGGTGTTAACTTTATAAGGGTGTTGAATGTTGCTGTAACATTTTAACATTACTGTACGTATTAGGGCGGATTTATATTTGTGCGTCAGTTCTATGCAGTGCCTACGCCACAGTCGCTGTTGTGAGCATTTATACTTCTGTGGAGGTCTGTCTGTGTCACTCTGCAGTTACACCTCCAAAACACTAGTGGGCGGTGAGGTTTCTGTGTAATGCTATAAAGTTTAGTTGATTAAAAACACACATTAAACACACATTAAACATGGCTTAATAGAGGCAGTTTCAGTACACAAGTACACAAATCAGCTTCACTATAACTCGCAGCATTCACAGACAAACACTTGTCTTTATCTGGACACATTTTCCCCACAAATACAACATGCTAACGTTATTAGCACAAAACATTGTATAAATTAGCTTAGTGACCAGCGGACATTTCCTCTACTCATATGAAGCCAGGGACAACAGCAACATTTAACAATGGTAACGTTACAAAATTTGGCTCCATTGCAACTCACAAGGTTCACTAACAAAACAACTGTCTTATACTAAACACGTTTTCCAAACAAATACAACATGCTAACGTTATTAGCACAAGCCTATGGCATTTTACATTGTATAAATTAGCGTAACAATGAGCAGAGATTTCCTCTGCTCATATGAAGCCAGGATAAATCACACACAAGACTTAAAATGATTTTTTGTGGAGGCTTTATTGTCTTCACAATTTACTGTTTCTTATTTGTGAGATTAAAGTAAATCAAAGTTTGGTTTCCACTGAGGGAACAACATGCTAACATTATTAGCACAAGCCTATGGCATTTTACATTGTTTAAATTAGCGACTAGCGGAGATTTCCTCTGCTCATATGAAGCCAGGATAAATCACACACAAGATTTAAAATGCTATTTTGTGAGGCCTAATTGTTTTTGCCGTGACGTGTAGTTACATTTTTGGGGAGGTGCATGTCAGGCTACAGTGTAGCGTACGCCGTGGACTCTGTATCGATGCAGAAAACTACAACTTCCACATTTTCTTTTGGTAATGGGAGGTGACAGCTGGTGTTTATGGTGTGGCGTTTACCACCCCTGACTACGGGGGGATGGGACATTTAATTCTATCAAGGATTTATCGAACATGTATTATATCTTTATTGAGTAAAATCATATCTAGATAATCATCGTTATTTTTTTATCGCCCAGCCCAAATGTTTTGGCTCAAAATTCTTGGTTATGATGCCACAATCATGACTGGAAATGCTGCTGAACCAGTTTGGTAGTTTGTTTTCTCAAACAGTGGTATACAGTTTGGCAGTTGTCTCATATAGGTCTCACGCCATAAACCATCTCTTTCTCCTCCAGATGACAGTCGGCTCATCTCCATGTAACCAGAACTACGTCACTTTGGACACGTTGATATGATATGTATGAAAATGTAAAATATCGGTGGTTTGCAGAAACGTGCAACTCCAACATTTTCTTCTTGCCTGGGCTGTGCGACCAAGAGCAGTGTTGAAATGTACTGACTTTAGATATTGCACTGATAAAGTGATGCACACAAAACATCACAGGATGGCATCGGCAGAGATCAGCACAAGATCTAAAACTGAGTGAAATTAATAGAAAATGAAATGAAAGAGAGAGCGAGAGACAAAAAGAGGTGGACTAAGACGGAGGAGGGATGGTGATAGAGTGTAGGAGGAGAGGCTGATGGGGTGTGATGATTTTTCTTGTCTCTGATGGCTTAGACAGAGCATGTCATTGGTATTTATGGGCTGAGAGACCTCACACTCCTAGCAACCACAGAGAAAGAGAGAAATGAAAGGGATGGAGATGAGACAGTAACAGCTATATGAAAAGAGAAAACTACATAGAGGAAGACAACTGCACATGGAAAGAGAGCAAAAGAAAAAGGAAAGATCAGGAAGAGAGCAGAGAAAGGATGGAGATAAAGAGAGCAGGCAAAAAGACAAAAGAATAAAAGAGACAGGAAGTAAAGATGAAAGATTAGAAACAGGTGAGAATATCAAATTTAAAATAAAAGCAAAAGTACGGGAAGTCAAACCGAGAGGGCAAAGACTAAATGATAATACAAGGAAAAATAAAGAGGTGATTCTCCTAGAAAGAACGTTTTAAAAGTATCACAAGTTTGTACTTGTGTTGGCTCTTCCTCTCCTGTTTTACAACTTCCTGTCTCCTCATCTTTTCTTTCTTTCTTCTCCTCTTTTTCATGTAACGGGCGGATGACATGAAGAAGGATCTGGATATGCCATCCAGTGGAAAGATAATGACCGTGAATCCCAGATGCCTCATCGTATCCAGGAAGAAGACAAACGTCTGACATGACATTTAACCTTTGCGCATCACTTCCTCTGACAGACCGACTGCAGGACGACAGGCTGATGCCTGCAGATGAACCCATGGACCAGGAAGAGGTGACGCTCTCCTCTTCCATGTTTGTCAGAAGATGATCTTCGACGGACATTCCATTTTCATTTCGTGGAGCTTTGCGTTGTGTTGATTTCCCTGGGTTTGGTTGCAGGCTGTTTTGTTGATGGAGAGGGTCTGAACTGAATTCTCTTTCCCTGCTCAGAAAACTCTTGACTTGGAGAATTACCGCAGGGGTTCTGACCCTGGGATTTTATTATGAGGCACAACAGGGGAGCCAGCTGTTAGTCAGCTTGTTTGGGAGTTCGTGCAAGCTTTTGCAGACTGCATTTCTGCTGGAAAAACACTTGTATTGGATGCAGGGAAAAAAAATATCACTTGTACCACTGGTGCTGGACAAGCTTCTGTTGCTCAACAATGATAAGGTGCAATATCTTTGACACAGAGGGACAAATAAAGCCTCTGTCAGTGAAGTTCTCCACACCTGCTTCCTGGAAACCAATGTTGTGATCTTCTGCATGGAGTGTAAAGAGTGGATACAACTGACTCACTGACAAACAGAAAGACTTTTTGGGGGGGGGAGACAATCCTTTCTTTATATCTGTCCTGTTTTTAACCGTTATGGGTCTGAACCTCAGCAGAAACGCCTGACTGAACCAGGGGATGGTCGACGACTCGGTAAACCTCTCTGATTGGAGCCAGCGAGGACGAGGTCCATCTTGATCTTCGAAACAGAACTCAAAGAAGAAAAAGTCCTCTCCCCCCCACTTACCTCTGGTGGGGGGGAGGGTGAAGGGTAGTTTAGTTTTTAGGGTGTAGGGCTTAGGGCCATAGGGAATAGTTTCGTAGTTATTTAGACGTTAGGTTTTAGGTTGTAGACTAGATAGTAGAGTACATAGTAAGGCTCGGTGGCCAAGTTAGACAGGATTGAGTCCAGTTTCTTCTGTTGTTTTGAGTCTTATTCAGTTGTGCTAGCCTGCTAGCTCATTTACCTGTGTCACCAATCTACCAGCCCCTGTGATATCTAACACTCAGCGAGTTAGCCTTTGGCTCTGCACCAGCTGTAGCTGTGACTCAGGCAGCATTTCATCCAGTGCAGACGTTTAGCATTTAGCCTCAGTGCTAGCTACAACCTGGATCTAACCAACTGTAACAGCCAACAGCATTCAGGCTCTGTAGTTTAGAATTTAGAATTAGTGAACCTTGGTCACCTTGAGCATTTCCCCAGCGGTTGTTTAGCTTGAGGTTCCCTAGCCATTAGCCTTTGTGCTAACCCTCAGACCAGCTAGTCATGGATGCTAATCAAGGCCCAGGTCAGGGCAGCCCAGAAAGCCCCAACCGGGCAGTGGAGTACCTTCTTGAACTCAACAACATCATCGAGAGCCAGCAGAAGCTTCTTGAAACTCAGCGGCGCCGAATCGAGGAGCTGGAGGTCCAACTGGACCGGCTCAGCCAGGAGAACAAGGACCTGCGTTTGGACCGGCAACCTGTTGCTCCTCCTCCACCTGCTCCTCCCCCTGAGCCTCCTCTCCCTCCTCCTCCTCCGCCGCCTCCTCCGACTCAGACCATGTCGACGTCCATTTCCACCAAGAACCACCACCACCACAACAGCCAATACCAAGCTCCTCCCCAGCCTCCCTCCTCCATCCCCCTCCACCACAGCCACCACCATCAGTACCACCAGCACCACCACCACTCCTCCTCCTCCACCCACCATTCCTACAACAGCTCCAATAGCACCAGTACAACAGCGATCCCGGTTCCTGCCCCGGCTTCGGCCCCGCCCTCCATCTCGATCCCCACCCAGATTCCAGCTCCAGTCTCCTCCCCAGCCCTGGCTCCACCTCCCCCTCCTCCGATCCCGCCCAGGGATCAGCCGCGGGCCCACAGCCGGCTGACCCGAGTGCCCTCCACCAGCACTGGCACCAACACCAACTTCGTGGAGAAAGAGAAGGAGAGGCTCGAGCGGCTGCACAGAGCGAACGCCTCCAACAACCACCACGCCCACACCCTCCACCACCACAAATCGTAAGTTAGACTTTAAGGTATACTTACTACAACCAAAGCCAAAGATAGCACAAGGAGGGCAAACTTGATCTCAGCAGTGGGTTGAAATGATCGAACTCTATATACAGACTGGAAAACAACCAGAATCTCAGGATTGTAAAACGTGTGAATAAGTTTATTTTGTAAGAAAAACTGAGAGAGGATGCCATTTTGATTACGACTCAATCATACTGAGGAAGTATCAAAGGGCTTTAAATCTCCCAATAAAATGACTCGGTTGGTATTCATTGAAATGTTTCTTTAGAGAATGAGTTCTGCCGTTCTATTGGATGACATATGCCTCTAAACATCCATTGTGATTGTTATTGAACTGCTGTAGAACATTGTGCTTTGTTTCCACTTACATACACATGTACAGAGGACACTGCTCTTGATTGGTCAGAATTTCCATGTGGGAAAAATCCAGGAAGTAAAGCAAACGTTGAAGAAGAGTACACTTGCAAGATAAATGTGACACTTTCTAATGTCACAATGGAGGGACAACTACGCAGGTTGATTTTAGCGCTGCTCATCGTGGACTATATTGCTGTCATTGTTCATTTTAGTCAAAGCATATAGTTTGAAAACGAGGCGTGGCTCCAACTAGAAAACAATGTTTTGATGCATTGGATGTGCTGAATGTGCATATTAAGGCAGCACAGGAGGAGGTGCACATTAATAATCCTCCAGGACTGTAACATGCTCATGTTTAACCCAAACAATGTGTCATGTGACTGCAGTTGCTTCACATCCAGGTCGCAACACCTTCTCACCACAAACCAACCGCACCAGAGTTCCTTTGGAACCGGACTGAGACCACCTCTTCAAGAAGGTCTCAGTTGTTTTGATGTGTTCACACCTGAGTGTGATTGCTGTGTTCACACGTGCCCAAACGAACCGCACTGAGGGGGCAAATGAAACTGAGTTTGATAGAACCGAACCAAACAGGGCATGTGTGAAAGCACTAGGGATGGGCAAACGATCAAAATTCATTATTCGATCATCAAAAAAATTAACGATCAATTGTCGATTAATTGATAAGCGAGTATTTCAAAAGAGAGAAAACAAAAGAGTGCAGTGCAGACTGTGGCCGCAAGAGAGCACAGCTGCCCCAGTTTTGAGCTTCAACCCCCCCAGGCCAAAGAGGAAGAATGGCGTGCATGCGCAGTTCACCCCTGGGTGTTTACAACCGTTGCCAGCCAGAGTTACAGGCTTCAGTTTTCAGCAAAATCTCCGTCTTTCAATGGCGTAGTGTTTTCAGAGGCCTCAAGGGAAGCCGCTGAGGTTTTGGAGAGCGATTAGAGCCTCCGTCTGTTTCTGATTTTTTTGCCTGGCATAGGTCCGGCGGGTTCTCATAAGCCTGTCGAGCCGCCGTGCTCGCCGGGCGGGGGGTCTCGTTGGCACGGCGGCTCGCCGGACCTATGCCAGGCATTGTAGGGGAAACACTGCGACTATTGATCAAAATTATTTGTGATCGATCAAAAGCCTTAACAATCAATCATCGATAATCAAAAATTGATGCCCATCCCTAGAAAGCACCTATATTATCATTTTTCAGTGGCAAATTATGTCCCCAAAGGAAAACTTTGTCATCAACAGTTTTATTTAGCCTGTTCATCTCACTTCAGTTGCTGTTATTGCAGCAAAATGTATCTAGTAAACTGAAAAAGATGATATGACTCTAGCAGGCTACCAAACCTCTAATTTGTATTTTTGATATATAATTATAAAAATTAATAATTTATATAATAAAAATAGTTGATACCTGGTCTCTGTGTGATGATACGATAATGCCACACAAAAGTATTACAATACGATGCTTCCTTGCGTCGGACACTAGAGGCATCATGAGTGTCTTTACAGATTTATGGACACCAGTCACATTTGTAAGTGGAAACAAGGCACTGGTGTTATCATGGCATCCTTTCACTAAATTTCCAAACTCAAACTTGGCTGCCAGTCTTTCATCCCATGGTCTGTTTTGCCAAAACTTGTGTCAATCTTTGACTTTGATCGCTACTAACTTTGCAGCTTTTCTCACGCAGGTTTTGTGCAAGCCTAGAAACACGTGCCCACATGCTAAATTTGACCTGGAAATATCTTCTTGCTTGATTCTAAGCTGGCAAAATAAAAAAGTGCAAGCAACGGATTTAAAGGTAAAGCTCTTCTGCTGAATTAATTTATTGTACGAGTAGGAGAGATGAGTTGTTGAAGTTTAACATTGAAGTGTTTCTTCCTGCGGAGGAGAGGGGGCAGCTGATGCCCCGTGTGCCTTCTTTCTGTACTGAGATAGTGTGATTAGTGTGTGTGCAGGGCTGATAAATATTCATCCTTTTATCAGCTAATAGGGCTACAGAGTGGAAGGCTGTAGTGGGAATTTACATATTGCAGGAGAGCAGGAGAGCACTAGCCTCCAGAGACACAGCAGCTAAACGACTACAGCATCTCTAACACTGATAATTGGTGGAGCACAGACTGAACAGTGTTATGTAATAGATATTTTTGCTAAGCAATAGGATTGGTTGTTGACCATGAAGAAAACACGCTGTGCTTTATGTTAAAGGGAAGTTGGTCGCTGTACTAATCACCATGGTAACCACTTAGCAGGTAGCTTTTGTTTTTTGCTCTCATTTTGTCGTAATTTTGTTGCTCTGAATACATTTTCAGTCAGAACTCTGTTCGCTGCCTGGAATTGGGTTTGTTGCCTGGCAACACTATCTTAGGAGCATCCTATCAGGAAGTGTTGAGAACGACGGAGCCTCGCTGCCGTCTGTGGCAGTCTTCTTTGTGCACAGGGCTGTGTGGTGCTGCAAGCAACAGGATGCAGGGCTGCAGTCATCCCATGCGTGTACAAGGCAGTGCCTTTGTAACTGGTAACACCTAACCGCTGTCTCTGGAAGCTCTGGTCATGGCGATTGCTGTTGCTATGCAACTGTGGAAAACCTGTTTGAAGGACAACGCTCTCGCTAACAGTTGAAATGGTTTTAACCTCGCTCGGTGCTGGGAGCGCTTGAAGCTTTGCTAAGCTTGCACTGCTGTTGGGAACATAGAGCGTCGCTTCCTCTCCTCTGCAAACAGAGAGGCTCCCGACAGACCTGCAGAAATGAAGGCTGGGGAAACGCAGTGATGACTCATGGAGACAGATTTAATAGTACTATTGCTTTGTCTTATAAGCTCTCATACTAGCAGCCAAAAAGTAAAACAGATTGTACACAGAGGTGCAGAGTGTGACTCAGACTCTCAGATCTGGGTTCATCTGAGGCATCTTGAGGAATCAAAAAATCCTCCGAGCCCTTAGTCATGGGACGTTCAGGTACAGCTGATGTCGTGAGAAAAAGCTGACCCCAAGCTTGCAAATGATGTAACAGGCAGAGAACAATGATGGAGTCTGACAGCGGCGAAGATAAGACTGATTCGTTATGAAATCACACAGTGCAATCGGCTGCTCGCTGCCTCTTCAAGTGACTGAGTGTGATCCAATAAATCCCACACTGCACTGGGGCAGATTATGGCACGGAGGCATGACAGCATGTTGCAGAGCTGCCTACACGGGTTCCTGAGTGATTTCGTAGTGGGCATGATGCAGCAAAATGCAAAACACCCTCACACTGATTTATTTTGCAGCACCTTGCAGCACCTCAGGCTGGAGCAGGAAGAAACAAGACACACAAAGAAGCAGTTTAAACATTTCATCTGAAGGGTGATGAGCTGTGAGTCTCAAACCACTGCCACAGATATTTATGTAAACAGTATCAATTTTGCAAGTGCAGTTAAAACGCATATTAACCCGTATAAAATGGACGGCTGCAGGAGATCTGTGTTTGCATCATCCTGTTTAAATACATCTAAAATAAAAACCATAACAGCTAGCGCATTAATTCTTTTGTTATCCCCATCATGTCCTGACCTCAAGTTACCTTTCCTTACAGGTGGCTCAAACGTAGTATTTCGCTGGAATTGCGCCGGAATCTCCCTGTGAACTTCCAGATCATTGTTTGCATAACCCTGTATATATTAATCTAAAATAAAAACCATGATAGCTAGAGCATTCATTTTTTGAAACAGAACGCTAAGGCTTCTGTCCTCCCCATCATCATGTCATGACCTTTTGTTACGTTATGGAGCAGACGTAGGATTTTGCTGGAATTGCGCTGGAATTTCCCGTTATGGCTTTCATAATCCTTTATGTATCAATCTAAAAGTCTAAAAAAATAGCGAGTGCATTCATTTTTTGTAGCAGAAAGCGATGGCTCCTGTCTTCCGTGTCATCACATTGTACGCTCATTATGACATCATTGTGCGTCGTTACACGGCGTGCCAAAATGCATGGTGGTGCCACTGAGGAATGAATGATGAATCTACCAAAACGCCTTTGCACTCTGCTCATAAAAATGTGCACAAAGCAAAAACTAAATAATAAACACAGTTCAAATAAGCTGAGGAGTGTTGAGAAATGTTTTGCCTATTTTTTTTTACATTTTAAAAAACTTTTGGATCAAAATGTTTTGTGTTTTTATCAGATTTTTGTATTATTTTTTCAAATGACACATTTTCAGTACTTGTATTAGTTATTATTCTGGTTTATTGACTCACAAAACCTTTTGGCTGTGGTTGTACAGATTTTAGGGATATGAAGCATTTGAAGTTACTCCAAGAAATGGCATCACAATAAGCAAGAGTACCACTGCACTGGACCATTTGTATTGCAGAGCTGAAAGGGTTAAATTATGTGTGCACACATGTTCCAGTGATGCTGCACAGGCTTAGCAAAGCAAACACATGCATTTGCAAACATTGTGCCTCACTTGGTTGTTTACAGATCTCCATTTGTGGCCAGTTTGAAATGAAAGTGTAGAAGAAGAGAAGAGAAATGTTGTGTTTTACAGACTCCCCAAAGGAAACACGGAGGGTTTGTGGTTCATAAATTCAGTTCATATTTGCCTCGCTCGTCTTGATGGGTCGCTATTAGCCAGTTTGCTCGT